GGGGGAGGGAGGGAGAGAGGGAGAGAGGGGGGGGGGGGGGAGGGGGAGAGAGAGGGGGAGAGAGGGAGAGGTATGAGGGAGAAACATCGAACAGTTGCCTCCGGTACATACCCCAACCGGCAATCAAACTCAAAACCTGGGTATGTACTCTGACCGGAATCAAACCTGTGACCTTTCAATGTACAGGATGATGCTCCAACTGACCCACACTAGTCATGGCCAACTGAAAGAAGTTTTATATTAAGCAAAACTTGGGGGTGGATAAAGATGGCAGGTGAATGCTGATCAAATGCTAGTAAGAGCATTTTCTCAGTGCATCTGCTAAGAAATTTAGTTGTTGAGCATATAGGTGTCATATGTAGTTTCAGTCATTGGACACCTGGGATAAATTAAAGTTAGAATTGGGAGATAAGATTGCAGATCTAGCCCTGGCTGTTGTGGCTCAGTTGGTTGAGCATTGTCTCATGTGCCAAGAGGTCACCAATTCGACTCCCAGTCAGGACACATGCCCAAGTTTTGGGCTTGATCCCCAGTAGGAGGAGGGCAGGAGGCAGCTGATTGATGTTTCTCTCTCTCTCTCCCTTTCCTTCTCCTTCCTCTCTCCAAAATTAATAAAAGCATATTTTAAAAAAAGATTTCAAATCTAAAGTCAGAGTTAAGTTCAGCTGCTGTTACACTCTGAATAAAAGCAAATGTAATACAAATGAAATTAGAATCTATCAGAGCCCAAGGTTATATGAAAGTGAAGAATTCTCTCTACTGACAATTGTTATGTAGGAGGCTTTAATTCTCAGGCTAAGTCAAAAATATAAATTGGAGCCGAAACCAGTTTGGCTCAGTGGATAGAGCGTCAGCCTGAAGACTGAAAGGTCCCGGGTTCGATTCCGGTCAAGGGCATGTACATCCCCAGTAGGGGGTGTGCAAGAGGCAGCTGATCAATGATTCTCTCTCATCGATGTTTCTAACTCTATCCCTCTCTTCCTCTCTGTAAAAAAATCAATAAAATATATTTTATTGATTTTCAAAAAATCAATAAAATACATATATATATGTATTTTATTGATTATATATATATATATAGTGGAATTAGTCTGAGGCACACAGAACATGGCAAAATTATGATCGAATGAAGTATAAAAATTAATAGGCAAATACTCAGTAACTTCAAAAATAGAAAACCTGGAAATCTGACGCATTAACAAAGTACCAGGACTAACAGCAACAAAATCAAGAAGTTGCATCTGCAGGGAGCATGAATGTTCAGGCACAAGCAAATGACTATTCTCTTATTCTTCTCCTTTCAAGAAGACAAAGGCCAATCCATCTGAGCTTTGATATTGATGCATTTGACCCTGCACTGGCTCCAGCCACAGGAACTCCTGTTATGGGGGGACTGACCTATCGAGAAGGCATGTATATTACTGAGGAAATACACAACACAGGTAAGTAGTGATTAACTGTTCACTATATAGGTAAATATGTGAAGCCTCTTGTCTGCCAGGAGTCTTTTCTACTTTTCATGTCATTGTAAACACTGTTTTTGCATGTTTGTATATGGCTCATACCAAAATATGCTAAGGTAATAGTGAATAAAAAGTTGTCTTCTTAAACACTTAGTATACACAAGAATAACCTGCCAAACTAATGCAGTTCTTTGCATCTGAACTGTCCAAAGGCCCATTAAGATTAAAAGCCAACACCAACTAGCTATAATTTTTACCTTAAATTAAGAAGTTGGTTTGCTGGGAGTTAGGAATGCGGAGTTAAAGCTTCTCTTGGAGATATTTCAAAGCTACACGTAGAGCAAGTCTTATATTGGAGCTTGTTTAATAGGAGCTTTAATACAGGAACAGTGGAAAATAAATGGCTGACAGAAAGATTAATATAATGAATGCTAGGTTATCAAGAGTGGCTACCAAGGAATTACTGTCCCAAAACTATTTCTTTCTTTAAAAAATAATTTTTTTGTTTGTTTTGTTAATCCTCACCTGAGAATATTTTTTCCACTGCTTTTCATAGAGTAGAAGGGAAGGAGGGAGAGAAAGAGAAAGATCTATGTGAGAGAGTCACATCGGTTAGTTGCCTCCTATGCGCACCCCAAAAGCAGGGTTGAGGGAATCAAACCTGAAACCCAGGTACCTGCCCTTGACCGGAAATTGAACCCAAGACTCTTTGGTGAGCAGGCTGAGGCCCTAACCAACACCAGGCAGGGTAGCTGTTTCCATTTGTCTGAAAGCTTCTTGGTTTTAAGGTTATTTTAAATGACTTTTAATTGCAAAATTTAAACAACTCCCACATGATACTTCAATATTATCTCATGAAAATAGGGTTTAAATAGCATAAAGCCTCAGACTGAAAGGTCTAGCCAGGGCGATAGAAAACCCTTGATCATTGGGATAGATGTGGGAATTGAGAAATTGTCTCCCTGGCTCTGGAGCCAACTAGACTCTTAGGCACTACAAAAAGGAAAATAATGCTTATCTATCAGATCTGACAGAGGCAAGGTAGTCTCATTTTCAGGCTCACAATCTTAGACGTTAATCATCCTTGGGTTGGTGGCAAATGAACCTGGGAGTTCAAACCTCCGTTTTGGTTCCCAATGACACTACTAGAGCCAGGGCTTAGTAACAGCTAATACTTAGAATGGGCGATGGTCAAACCTTGACACCCTCTCTCCTGTTATCGTGTTACTCTATTCTAAATGACTGTCTATCATGACACATAAAGTAGTTTGTTTAAATAATTTACAGGGTGGCAATAATATAGAAACATGGGTATATATATATATATATATATATATATATATATATATATTTATATTTTTTAAGATAATATTTATACTTCTGGGCTCTGCTGAAGGCCCAGCTTTAGTCGGTGGAATTTGGACACACAAATGATCAGAGAAGCATATGCATGTGCAAGAATTGGTTGAAGTGGTACAGTAATGTGCTGCTCACCAAAATTCTGCACAGTGCATTGAACTATACATTGCTAACACTGAATAGGTATAATGGCAATGAGCATATCATTTATAATAATAAATGCTTAATATGCTAATTAGACTGGACAGCTGAACAACCTTCTGGACATCCTTCCTGATGAAACCAGGGCTGTGAATTTCATGCACTGGACCTCTAGTGTACTATAATGTAATACCAATAAACCATTAGCAATATTCACTCATGTTTCCAGGCTTTATGGCCACTCTAAATATTCTCAGATACTTGTATTCTCAAATACTAGTTTGTTCAGATAACTCTTGAAAAGGTAGATTAACTTCACTCAGAATACCCAACTAAAAAGTTAACTACCCCAGAGAAGTGAGGGTGAGGGAGTGGTGGTGGTGGTGGCAGGGAAATAAGTGTAGAATCTGCCCTCAGGCTCAGACCTGCAGGAGTGAGTAAGATCTGCAGTAGTAACTATATTTCAGGGCACATGGTTCCTTAAGTATGTGGATACAGCATCAGAGTCAAAAGAGGAAATAGAGCTCTGGCTACATGCAGGCAGGCATCTGGAAAGTTCCTTAATATTGGAAATGGCACACATTTTCCCTACTTGTTGGGAACTCCTTAACCCACAACCTCCCAAGCCCTTTCTTTATTCCTTTCACAAAGCTTGACAGCTATGTCTTGTATGTCAGTTGAAGAGGGATGATTGATTTTATTACCTTAAAGGTTTCTTTCAATTCTACTCTAATATAGCAGTAGTTTGATGCTTTTTTGTTTTGTTTTGAATTATATTTTGATTTTTTTACAGAGAGGAAGAGAGAGGGATAGAGTTAGAAACATCGATGAGAGAGAATCATCGATCAGCTGGCTCTTGCACACCCCCTACTGGGGATGTGCCTGCAACCAAGGTACATGCCCTTGACCAGAATCGAACCTGGGACCTTTCAGTCTGCAGGCCAATGCTCTATCCACTGAGGCCAAACTGGTTTCGGCTGTTTTTTTGTTTGTTTGTTTGTTAATCCTCACTAGAGGATATTTTCCCTCCATTGATTTTAGAGAGAATGAGAAGGCAGAAGGGGGAGAGAGAAACCTCGATGTGAGTCACATCAATTGGTTGCCTCCCCTACCAGTGAGGGTAGGGAACCTGCAACCCAGGATCAGAATTGAACCTGTAACACTTTGATTCACAGAAGGTTAGGGCTGGTATTGTGTGTGTGTGTGTGTGTGTGTGTGTGTGTGTGTGTGTTTAAATGTTTTGTTTTGTTTTGTTGAGAAAGGGAGAGAATGATCAGCTGCCTTCTGCACGCCCCCTACTGGGGATTGAACCTGCAACTTGGGCATGTGCCCTGATAGGGAATTGAACTGGTGAATTCTTGGTGCATAGGACAATACCCAACCACACTGGCCAGGGCATTATAGCAGTGTTTTAATAAGGTATAAGGGGCTTCCTGACAGTGGCTGTTATAGTAGAAAATGGTTGGTTTTTTACCTTCGTTTATTCTGTCCAGGGGGTACAACCCTTACTGAAAGCAGCAGCTAGGGGATTTTCTGAGGATTTGTCACACTTTGTTCTTTCAGGGTTGCTGTCGGCACTGGATCTTGTTGAAGTTAATCCTGAATTAGCTGCTTCAGATGAAGAAGCCAAGGCTACAGCTGGCCTGGCAGTGGATGTGATTGCTTCAAGTTTTGGTCAGACAAGGGAAGGAGGGCACAATGTCTATGACCAACTTCCTACTCCCAGTTCACCACATGAATCAGAAAATGAAGAACGTGTGAGAATTTAGGAAATACTGTATGCTGACACATTCATCACAATGGGCATTCCAGAGTTGTGAGGTGTTTGAGGGGGCAGATACTACATGGTCATCTGGGTCAATACTGCCTTAATAAGAACATTTGCATATTCTCACAATTGTAAATTTTCCTTTCCCTCTCCATTTTGGTGACCAATGATAATAATGTAAATGTATTTGTGGGTTTTTTTGCAATCATGGGGTATTAATATGTTGGAGTACATGTAAATTTAAAGAAGTCATAAACAGCATTTATTACCTTGGTTATCACACTGGTCTTGTTGCTGTTTCTTCACATTAGCTGGTTTTCCATCTTCCCTCCCTCTTCCCACAGTCTGGCTACACAGTGCATCCTGAACCGTTAGCTCACAGCAGCAATACACTTATTCCACATCTGTAACACTATTCACCCTCAGGGTCAAAGTTCTGGTCCACAAACACTTCCACGCAGGAAGTTCAATGCTTGCGAAAGAATTTGTAATAAACCAGGCCTCCCAGGATGGCTATCTCGAGTAAGATGACAATGGAAAGTAGCAGCTTGTTGGTTGTCACTCTACAAACAGAAACAAGTGAACAGTCAGAAGTCTGGATAACCTTATTACTTTCTATTCTTTAAAAAAAAAAAAAAAATCTATTTTTTATTTCAGAGAGGGATAGATAGGGAGAAATAGAAATACCAATGATGAGAGAGAATCATTTATCAGCTGCCTCCTGCACGTCCCACACTGGCGATCTGCCTCCTGCATGCCCCACACTGGAGATCTGAGCCCACAACTGGGATTATATCAAAGGTAAAAATGTTTTTTTTATTCTAAAATGTCTTCAAATAGTAGTTACTACCTCACTTTATTTTTTTAAAAACCTCACCTGAGGACATGTTTTTATTGACAAGAGGGGGGGGGGGAATGGGGAGAGTGGAAGGGAAGGGAAGGGAAGGGGGAGAGAGAAACATCAATGTGAGAGATTGCCTCCAATAACGCAACCCAACCCAAGGATCAAACCATGCAACTTTTTGGTGTACAGGATGATGCTCCAACCAGGGCTACTTCTTCACTTGAGAACTAGCTTTTCTAGGAGGGTCTAGTTAGGAAAATAGTATATTAAATATAATATGAAAAAATATACCTATTCTGAAACCAGGCTAACTCATATTTCAAAGTTAGCAACATCTAATATATAGAGCCATATCAGTTACATACTACAGTTGAGAGCATGTTAGAGGAGTATTTGTGGCAGACTCGCCAGGGCTGATGTGCAGCACAGGGACAGGTGCCAAGTAACCAGAAGCTGGGTAGCATCTCTCTTACTTTCTCTTTTCCCATGGGTATCTCTACAAAGGCAATATAGGAGCTTCATAGAAAAATCCACTGTCTTTTGTTAATACAAAGAATCCAATCTCTGGTTCTCATGTTCACTCTAAACTGAAGGTTTCCCCCTATTCCATAAGGAATTTACAACTGTTTAGGAAAATCTCACTCTTCTGATAATTCCATGACTCAATTGTGATTTTGAACCATGCATACTACCACTTACTCCAAATACATTTTGTTATCAGCACTTATTTCAAGGGTTTTTTTTAAAACAACTTTTTGCTAACAAGACAGAATTCCCAGGTAAGGGATTGACTCCCATGAAGAGCAAGCAGAGCCAAAAGTAAGTATTAAGCAGTAGCAGTGAAAATATTTTCTAATAAATATTTTCTAAAAAAATATTTCTAAAAAATATTAAATCAACTTTTTACAAATATGAAGCTGTATTACTCCTATGTGCTGTTTTCTCTAAGGAATGTTGGGAATAAAAGTACTTTCAGTGGCCCAGCCAGTGTGGCTCAGTGGTTGAATGACAACCTATGAACAAGGAGGTCACAGTTTGATTTCTGGTCAGGGCACATGCCTGGGTTGCCAGCTAGAGGGTGTGCAGGAGGCAGCACATCAATGACTCTCATCATTTATGTTTCTCCCTTCCTCTCTAAAATTTTATATATATATATATATATATATATATATATATATATATATATATACTTTCAAAGGACAAAGTTTACACTGTTCCAAATCAAAAGATTTTGTCTTGGGATATTTAACTACACAAGACAATATTCCTTATTTCTTCAGCTTTATTAGAACCTTTGCAAGTCACAGTTTAAAGCTTTTACACTCTTGGTTGACAGGCATAAGAGTTAAGGGAAATTAATTTTGTGACTATTTTTTAAAACTTACTTTCTGGACATTGACCGGAGAATCTTTCTACTTTTGCTCAAGTTTTCATTTGTGTTTACCAGCTGAAAAGAGAAAATAGCGATTATTGTCCCCTTCTTTTTAAAAGTATACATTCTAGAATTTGAACTCCAAAACTGACAGTGGGCATAAAGGAGGATATGTTGAAATCAAACCAATTTAAAAGATGGCCTCCGAGTATAATTAGAAGAAACTGGAGAGGACAAGATACTTTAGTTACAGGCGTCTTCAAACTGCGGCCCGCAGAGGAGTCTGATCCGGCCTGCCAGGTTTTTTGGGCAGTGAGCGCAGCCGAGGTGTTACAGTAGGAATTAGTAGTTCATATAGTCCGGCCCTCCAGCTCTCTGAGGGACCGTGATCTGGCCCCCACTTTAAAAAGTTTGAGGACCCCTGCTAGAACTTCTCAAGTAGGTTTAGGAATTATATCCCAAGGCTGTGTGAGGGAATTCTGGGACAGAGCTCGTGCTTGGCTATTCAAAAACAGAAAGGCTTCAAGTGTACACCTTGCCAGTAACTGAAGCAATCTAAGATTTGAATTTCAGCAGTCTAACTCCAGGAGAGCCTCTTGAGTTATAGTCTATTTTCACAGGCTGGTGGATTACCACGCCTGGGATATGGTTATTTTTTTCTTTATCCCTTTAAGTCTTAAAGTTTAAGAGATACTTACATTGAATTGTGAAAGGCTTGAAAGGAATTAATCCTTTTAAGCCTTTTTTTTTTTTTTTTTTTTTAAACCTTTCCCTTTTGCTTGCATGGTACTAATCTATATAGCTGGAGGATATTTCACTTGCCATCTGTCTCCAATCCCCAATGGCTTTGGTAAGCTGATCTCAGACCATTCCTTGGCTTTTGAATTCAGCCAATTCACCTGGTATGTACAAAAGTAAAATATCAAAACTGTCTGTAAGTAAGCTACCTTTTCTAGAGTTTACCTTAAATTTTCTACTTTGTTGTGAATTTTCACAGAGGGAAGGGCATCATTCTGACCCATTTTAAGAATGGAAAATTAGAGCTATTAAGAAGTTTGAGAAAATTATCTCGAACCCCCACAATGAACCATATTTTCCCATTTAAATTTTATCCACAGTATCTGTTTTTCCGTCTAGATTTGCCTCGTGCTGTTAAGAGCACAGCATTCTACTGGCAAGTTGTACTATTTCCAAAATTTCCATACAGATGTATGAAAAGGAATGTTAGTTTTCAGAGCCTTTTAGAGTGATAGATTAGAGGCCCCAATACAGCCAACGTTGGCCTATTTCCATTTGCTTCCCACAGGGATCCAGCTTACCTTAGGTAACAGTACAGAGCTACAGTCCAGGACTGAACCTCTACAAATTGTCAGTGGTACTATTTATGACATGTGGAAGATAGCCTTGGTTCTAAATGACAGGAAAGCTAGGATCTTGTCAGATGATACTTTCATAAGAATAGCAGAATATCCCACTAGATGTAAGAGAAATCAACACCTCAGAGTGGTAATGCAGGAATAAAATGATGGAGTGGCTGCAATCTTATGTTTATTTGAATAGAAATGCAGAAATCAAGTTTCTTCAGTCTTTCTCCCCCCCGCCCCCAATGATCTCTAAATCTTAGAGCTAAAATTATTTCCAAGGGAGATCTCTCGGCCATGCAAATTAAAAACTGAGAAAAGCATAATGCCCTAAGAGGGCATTTACTCTGAATTCAGAATTGCTGAAGCTTTGGGCAGGAAAAGCCAGCATGGTTTCATGGGCCCTCCTGCTTTACCCACTCTTGCCCCTTCCCCCATTCGCCCGTACTTACTCTATTTTTGGTACGTTCCAACTGCTCCCGTTGCTCCCCCAGCTCTTCTATAATTTCTGAGCCAATCTGATCAGTTTCTGCGGCAATCCGATGAGAACGCTCAATACTCTGGGTGGCCCGGTTCAGGCTGTCAGTGCCTTGCAAAAGCAATACCCTCTGAGACTGTAGTTGATTCTGACAGGATTATGAAAGAGAAATGTTAGACTTCTTCCACTATAAAGTAATTGCCAGCACAATCCTTATGAACACTCTTCAGTAAGAAGGGATATAGTGTGCAATAAGTTTCATTATTTTTTAAAATATGTTTTCATTGATTTTAGAGAGAGAAGAAGGGAGAGTTAGAAACACTAATGAGAGAAAAACAGCAACTGGCTGCCTCCTGCATGCCTCCTACTGGAGATAGAGCTGAAACCTGGGCATGTGCCCCGACTAGGAATCCAACCAGTGACCTCTTGGTGTACAGGAGGACACTCAACCTACTGAGCCACATTGGCCACGACTAATTTTCATTACTATCATTTTTAAAATATATTTTTATTGTTTGGCTGCCTCCTTGCCACCTACTTGGGATTGAGCCCAAAACCGGGCAGGTGCCCTGACGAGGAATCAAAGAGTGACTTCCCAGTTTCTAGGTCGACACTCAACATTTGAGCCACGCTGACTAGGCTAATTTTCTTTAAGACATATAAGGATGGTAATGAACTCTAAGATCCTATTCAAGGTCAGACTAAAGCAGGACTTGGAATCCAATCAGGATCACCATACCTCTCACTGCACTGCCTGTTATACTTAAGTGAGGCAAGGTAAGGAGGATTAAAAACATCAGAGCATTTTCCCTTGTTTGTAATGAGTTTAAACCAGTTTAAACTGGTTCATGTGTTTCCTGAACTAGCAACTTCTGAGAAACAGTGGCCCAGATTTGGGGTGTAGGAGCTACTTAAAAATGCAAATAGCTTATAACTGATGGGCAGCAACCAAGCCAACTAAACTCTACAGCCTTAGAACATATAAATTCACTGAATAGCCCTACCTGATTGGTACTGAGGATTAAGGGACCATGCATAAGCTAATCATATTAGAAGTCTAGGTGGGACACTGCCACATTATGGCCACACTCTTGGTAAGCCCCCAAAGAATTTCACTTCAAGCCAAACAGAAAACAAAAACTGAAAAAACTTAAGTGGTCACACTGGTGACTTGCTTTCAGGGAAGAAGGTATTTAGGGCCAAGTAAAGTGGCCTGGCTGCCCTAATTTCCCAAATCCCCATCAAAGTTTTACTCCACCTATAATCCTAAGCACAGAAGACATGAGGAAATGCCCAGGCCGGAATTAACCACTGACAGAAATGGGTGTAGCTATGGCTAGGTATCTCGGTTGGTTAGAGCGCCGTCCCAATACTCCAAGGTTTTGGGTTTAATCCTGGTCAGGGCACATACAGGGTCAACCAATGAATGCATAAATAATTGGAACAATGGATAGATCTCTCTCTCTCTCAAAATTATAAATACAAATATTAAATTATTAAAAGTAATTAAAAATACTTTTAAATAATTAAAATATTTTTTAAAGCATACATGTGTATATATATATATATACACACACACACACACACATTAAAAAGGGGTCAGTTCACAGGGCTTATTTCTGAGCACTAGATCCCACCATCAAGAAACTAACAATGGGCCCTGGTTGGTGTGGCTCAGTTAGTTGGAGCATTGTCCCGATAACCAAAAGGCCATGGGATCGATTCCGGGTCAGGACACATACCTAGCTTGCAGACTCAATCTACAGGAGGCAATCAATTAATGTTTCTCTCTCACATTGATGTCTTTCCTCCTACCCTCCCTCTCTCTAATCTATAAACATTAAAAAAAAAAAATTCAAAAACAGGTTCCCAGATCAGAAGTAACAAAAATTCCTCATACATGGTATATGAACCAGTGAATGAGGAAACTACTGAATGAGGTTAAACTAACCCTCAGGTACTTTAGCTTAAAAGAAGCAGGAATAAGGCTTTTTAAAAATAAAAGATAGGGGTTTTCAACTGATTAGGTTGAGAAAGAATAGGAAAAGATGGTAAGATGATATAAATCAATCTCAGATAATTCTACTGAAAGTGGTATATATCTAAATTGTGTTTATAATTTCTGAAACATCATTTTAAAGCAAAATTATTCTCTGGACTTATCTCCCCCTTTTTTGTTGTGTGTGTGTGTGTGTAAAATAAATGACCAAAGTTACTTTCACCTCTCGTCTCTCTTTAACAAGCTCCACCTGCCTTGCTTGCCTTTTTCCAGTCCCTCCTTTCACAAGTGAACTCTAAAAACTTTACACCATTCTCAAATACTCTAGTTTTGACATCAGCAATGTCAGGCCAGCAGCATCTGAATGTCTCTTCAACTATAATAAGGATGCATCAAGAAATGGGATTTGTTTAAAATGGTACTATCAGCTTTTCTACATATGTGCAAGCTGCACTTCCATTTCTCTCCTATGCTACTTGCCAGGCCATTTCAACTTTGCACTATGGAATACAACCCCAAAAGCAACACATTGTTTAAGCTTTGTGAAGTTTTATTAATTTAACTCTCTAGCTTCTCCGGATAGTTACAGAATATCGATTTTTCTATCCAGTCAGTCTAACTTAATAAATCAGAATTCTGAGGCAAGAGGCAATCTGGCTCTCTTCCTATTGCAACAGAGCAAGGCATTAGCCCCTCCTTAAGAAGCATCCTGCCTTCTCTACTGTATCTGGGCTACTGGGTCATCATATAAATGTAAAAGAAAGCTTGTGTTAATTTTGTAACAATACTCTGATAAATTAAAAATCTAACTGAATTTTCTGGGCACATGTGAGAAAGAAACTAGATCAATGGGTCAGAATACAGAGTTCAGATATAATAAGATTAGGTAACACTTGCGTACCACCGATACATACCAAGCCCTGTTTTATATATAAAGGATGCAAAGAAAAGTAAATAAGCATATGGTGAGGAAATATCTACATTAAATACAGTAGGATAAACACCCAAGAAAAGGAGAACTGGATGCAGGAAAGAGGACGGTGGGGAAATGAGTGTGGTGCAGTATACACTGTAACATGAACTGTACTTCACAATATGGTTAATTCTTGTATACAGGCCCAAAGGGGAAAAAGACAACTGAAGCTTACCATGTGCTCATTCTCTACAGTGTAGGTGCCATATTTCATGTCTCCTCGGCCCCCAGGTGTGGCTGTCAAAGGCGTGCTTCTCACTTCCCGGTGCAGTTTGGCAAGATCCTTCCGGTAGTTTCGAAGCTTAGACATCATAGGGTTACGAAAAGAGAGGGGTGCGTAACGTAGTTCCTCTTCCATCTCTGCCAGCTGGAAGGCAGAAAACAGTGAGAGGACAGCCTGGTTCGGACTAATCCAACTCCAGACAACCCAAAGTAAGTACTCAATGATATGCTCCATGGGGGCAGGGACCACATGCGGCACACTCACTCCACTGCTCTGCTGTCTGCCCAGTGCCTATCAAGCACAGAATAAGTATTCAAAAAGTATGTGATGAATGAGTGAAAAAATGAACAAGTACCTTATAGCTTATTAAACATTTTTATATGCATTCATTTAATCCTCATAGCAAATCAACAAGGCAGGAAATATTATTTCTATTTCATATATAAGACTTGAAAAAACTGCCCTGGCCAATTTGCTCAGTGGCTACAGCATCAGCCTGCAGACTGAAGGGTCAAGAGTTCGATTCCCAGAATAATAGATGTGTAACAAAGAAAAGGATGCAGATAAACTTAACTTCTCACAACTTCACTGAAATAGGGAAGTTGTTCTTCAAGCAATAAGGAAGTTCTCTGGTTTAAAAAGAATTTTTCTTCTCAGTCTATGCTGGGGTATCAAAAACTAGGGGCCACTATTTTTGCCAAGTACTACTAGGGGCCTAGATTTTAGCCCCAACCTTCTAAAGGGTCTGCTAAAGCTACAGCATAATGGAGACAGAAGATTCTTCTAATTGGTTAGAGCAAAGCTTTATTATTATATTTAAAGCCTCAGATTAAGAGAGAAGCAGTTGTTACACTGCTTAGTAACTCGGGCCAACTTCTGACAACTTTGGGTTCTGATTGGGAACTCATCCCGTCCTTGCAGGTTTTACCCAAGATGCCAAATCCAGTCACAGTGCTCTTTTAAAAGGGAAAGGAAAGTGACTTAGAACCACCTGTGAGCTATATTTTGTGACAGTGTGTTTAACAAAGAAAATGAATGATCTTGGTGGACATTTTTTTTTTAATGTATTATCAAAACCTCACTTTGGGATAGTCTTCCAGCTTTATCCATTTTGTGTTTTTAACCCTTTCCCCCAATACCCATTCCCATCAACTGGTCTCATTTAATAAAAAAATAATCAAAATCAGGATCAATAAGCAGGAGCAATTAATCTGTGACCAGGTCATAAGCAATAGTTTTGGAAAAGATGAACACCAGATAAAAGAAACAAGAACCTGTTCTCTGTTCTCACCGTTTCATTTGCTTCCTGTTGCTTTTCATCAAAATCTCTGATCAATTTCTTCTTCTCTTCTGAAAAAGATAACACCAGTCTCAAATGCTCAGTCCTGCTTCCTTCCATACATTTGTAAATCCCATTCCCTCCGAGTAGAATAAACTCCCCATTCCTTCCTTGTTGGGGGTAATAGTTTTTAATCACTTCTAAAAGGCATTTAGGAAAGTATGGAACTTCTTATGAAAGTGACTGGGGGAAGGGGAAAGGAAGAATATTAGTACCGGCATTTAGTTAGTGCCCAGGGAACAAGAATATCCATGCTTGCAACAGTCCTGCATAGCAATGACCTGGCCCCAAAGGCCAATAGTGTCCCTGTTAAGAAGCACTATACTAGTAGGTCTAAGTTAATCACTGTTACCCAATTCTAACAGAAAGACCAGTCACAATATCATCAATGAGAATGCTTAACCATACTGCTTCTGAAATCTGGGTCCCCATCTTCATGCACACCATAAAGTACTTCTCTATTTAACCCTCATCCACTGCTTTTCTGCAAAACAAATTAAAAACCCACCTAGCCAAGGCCAGTTTAGCTCAGTGCATAGAGTGTCAGTCTGAGGACTGAGGGTTCCCAGGTTCGATTCTGATCAAGGGCATGTGCCTTGGTTGTGGGCACATCCCCAGTGGGGGGGTATGCAGGAGGCAGCTGATGGATATTTCTCTCTCATCGATATTTCTAACTCTCTATCCCTCTCCCTTTCTCTCTGTAAAAAAATCAATAAAATATATTTTAAATAAATAAATAAGTAAATAAATACAATAAAAGCCCACCTATTCTGTTCATTGGGGAAGCAGCACATTATAGCACTTGTTTCTCTGCCATACCCACTGGTGGTGGCATGAAACCAACTCAGTGAGAAAGTCACCCCTATTGATTCTTTCAATCCTTTGTACCACGTCTTTTTGGTGCTAGTATGTCTTTAGAGGCTTCAGCTTCAAAGCAATTGACATCGAACTTAGCATTGTTTTGCCTTCCTTATATTTTTCTGACCGTGTAGATAGGTTCTACAGATTTCCCATTTAAAGTAGTGATATAAAATTTTATTTTAAATAACTTCATGTATTAAAAAATATATTTTACATGAAATAAGTTAATATAAAGAAAGCAATTAAGCAATAGTAAAAATGGTATTGAACATGGCAGAAAGGATGAAGGGAGTCCTGATAAACACAATAGGAGAACTGCAATAACACGAGGTATGCCGGTGTTGCCCTTAACAGGGTCTCTTTAGCCTATCCTATATATATATATATATATATATATATATATATATATATATATATATATATATATATATAAATATAAAAGTCTAAGTGACCATCGCAACTGAACAGACCACCAAACAGGCTGTATGGGCCTGCCAGGCTGGCAGGGGGGTTAGCGAGGGGAGGTCAAATGACTGAGCAGCAGGCTGCATGGGGTGAGCAGGCCTGCAGGGAGGGCAGTTGGGGGTGACCAGGCCAGAGGGGGGAAAGGGGGTTGGGAGATGGGGGGGGCAGTTAGGGGCAATCAGGCAAACAGGCAGGTGAGCAGTTAGGAGCCAGTGATCCCAGATTGTGAGAGGGATGTCCGACTGCCAGTTTAGGCCCAATCCGGGGATTGGACCTAAACCTGCAGTCAGATATCCCCCAAGGGCCCCGGACTGGAGAGGGTGCAGGCTGGGTTGAGCCTCCCCCCCCCCCCCCCCACCGCACAAATTTCATGCACTGGGCCTCCAGTCCTGTATAATAATAGGCTAATATGCAAATTAACCTAAGGGCAGAACAACTGAGTTATGACGCACACTGACCACCAGGAGGCAGATGCTCAACACAGAAGTTGCCCCCAGGTGGTCAGTTTGCTTCCACAAGGGGAGCAGCTCAGCCAGAAGCTGGGCTCACAGCTGGCAGCGCAGTGGCAGTGGTGGGAACCCCGCCTTCCAGGCAAAGCTAAGGATGTCCAATTGCCCACTGGGAGTCCCAGACTGAGAGGGCTCAGGCCGGGCTAAGGAGGGTTTTCCCCCCATGCCTCTAGTATTTATATTGTATATTACCATCCACCCACTAAAATGGGGATTGTAAATCTTTTCCCTGCAATTTGCAATATTAACAGCATCTGGAGCTGAACCAGGCACCCAATAACCTCTCCCAATAAATACAAGTTAAACAAATGCATGAATTTCACTCTCACTATTCAACTCATTTGCCTTCGGGTAACTCACATAGCTAACACAAACTCTGACACTGAACTTATCCACCAGACAAAGAACTGTGCTTCCACCAGATTTTACAGAACTCTAGCTCCTCCAGGCAAAGCTTGCAGCAACCTGAATTTTGAAATAATGGGACAGGAAACAGTCTCTAGCGAAAAGTTCCTAAGAGGACACACACCTACATGCCACTATCCTGATTTTAAAGACCAACCCCTCCAAAACTGATATTTACCAACCCCCAAAACAATGATTCCTTTGGGTGTTCTTAACCCTTTTGGTGCTACGGACCCTCTGCCAGTCTGTTGAAAACTATGGACCTCTTTTGAAAATAATCATTTAAATATGTAAAACAAAATACAGAGGACAATCAATTTTACTGAAATACAAAACCCAATCTTTGAAGTCTCCGATACTTGTCACAGTGAAAGTGAGATGAGAAAAATTTGGAGGATGAAGAATCCCAAGGAAACCACACTCTGAGGTCCACCACTGAGCACCCTACATGGCAGCGGGAGGTCCTGGGCCCCGTCAGCCCTACACGGGGAACTGGAACACCAGGAGAGCAGCGAGGAGGACTCCGGGCTTCTCCCGGAGCACGGGGGCCAGTTCCCAGTGCTCCGCCCGCCCCCCCTTCCTGTCCCCCCAGTCCCCGCCCGCCTCCCTGTCCCCCAGTCCCCCCCCCCACGCCTCCCTGTCCCCCAGTCCCCGCCCCCTTCAACTGTCCGCCCCCAGTCCCCGCCCCCCTCACCTGTCCGCCCCCAGTCCCGGCCCTGTCACCTGTCCCCCCAAGTCCCCGCCCCTCTCTGTCCCCCCCAGTCCCGGCCCTGTCACCTGTCCCCCCAGTCCCCGCCCCCCTCACCTGTCCGCCCCCAGTCCCCGCCCCCTCACCTGTGCCCCCCAGTCCCCGCCCCCTCACCTGTCCCCCCAGTCCCCGCCCCCTCACCTGTCCGCCCCCAGTCCCCGCCCCCTCACCTGTGCCCCCAGTCCCCACCCCCCTCCCTGTCCCCCCTAGTCCCGGCCCCGTCACCTGTCCCCTCAGTCCCCGCCCCCTCACCTGTGCCCCCCAGTCCCCGCCCCCTTCCTGTCCCCCCCAGTCCCGGCCCCCTCACCTGTGCCCCCAGTCCCCGGCCCCTCACCTGTGCCCCCAGTCCCCGGCCCCCTCACCTGTGCCCCCAGTCCCCGCTCCCCTCCCTGTCCCCCCCAGTCCCGGCCCCGTCACCTGTCCCCCCAGTCCCCGGCCCCCTCACCTGTGCCTCCAGTCCCCAGGAGCCGCTCCGGCACCCCCCGGAGGTCTTCATGGAGGCCGCGGAAGATCTCGTGCAGCTTCTCGAAATGCTCCGAGGAGGCGGCGGAGGTGGCCATGGCGCAGGCCGCTCGAGCAGCGGCTGCCGAGATTCGGGGCCCGGGCCCGCTTCACCCGCGGTGGGTGGTCAGCCACCCAGCCCCGCGGGCATCACGGCGACCACCTCCGCCTGGGCCGCCCCGGAAGAGACGTTTCCGGGCCGCGGCAGGGGCCTCCGGGCCGGAACGCCCACCCTCTTCACACCATCCCTGAGGGGCCGCCGGGCGTAAAAGCCTGACGGAAAGGCGGGCGGGCTGCGCTGCCCGGGAGGCTCCTGTGAAGCCGGCTGCGCGTCTGAGCTGGCGGGAGTCTCAGACCTCCGGGGACACCCGGTTTGGGCCCGGGGACAGCGTCACAGCGGAGGGGCTGCGGGGACCGCGGATCCGGCAGCGCGGCCGCCCCTCTCAGGGCCCGGCCTCCGGCGTAGGGCGCACGCTGCAGTGCATGCTGGGGGTTGTAGTTCGGCAGGGAGGGCGGGCCCACCCGGAGATCACGAGCTGAGGGTCGCGGTGCTTTCCTGGGCGCCTCTGCTGCCCAGGGGTGACGCTGAGCGTATTGGTTTGGTGTCGGCGTGCGACTGGACTAACGTTATCTTGTCGTCGCACCTTTGGCCCCCCTGACTGACCGAATGTTAGTTTCCAGCCCTTGAAAGGTGGCCGTGCGTGTGTGTGTGTGTGTGTGTGTGTGTGTGTGTGTGTGTGTGTGTGTGTGGGTGTGTGTGTGTGTCAAGCAATCAGAGAACACCTACTTTCCGAAGTGGTCACCGGGCATTGTGACCCCCAAAATATGCACTCAGCAGATGTTTAATGTTAATAGTCACTGTGCAGGGTCAAGGCCATTCGTGGGTGATTAAAAGATTCATTCTGCGCCTGGGTAATTTATAACATGGTGAGCAAGGGGGAAGCGGCTTCAAGTCTCATTCCTACTAAGTGTCACGTGTTCAAGTCCTTTCCTGCACTCCAAGGATTTTTCATGGTTTCATGGAAGGAAATTCCTATTTTCACCTATTTCATGGTTTGCCTATGGAGTCGGTTATGAAATGTTTGGCAGAGTCCAATATTTAAAACTGCCCACAATATCAACGTTTGTTCAGGAGGATGATTTGGTAATTTTAACCTCCTGGACCCTTATTTTGCACTTGATCTTAGTCAAAAGGCCGAGAAGCGATGGACCCTTATTTTGATTAGATTGAGTTCATTAATCATTGATTCAAGAAACTTGTTCATTTCCTAAAATTAAGCATTTAGACAGAGCAAAGCCTGAGATTGTCAGCTGCAGTGTGCTATAATATCCCACAGTTACACAAGGGGCAATACAAAAAGGAGAGCTAACCTGGGGCGGAAAAAGTAATCTTTGAACAGCATCACCAAAGAAAAGTAGAAATGGGTGAATGAACGATCAAATTATCACACAACTGAAGTTAATGGCATTTCAATTGAGACTGTATGATAGACTCTGGGACAAATTATTCTTTGAATTATTCTTAGAATGAGAATGATTGCATACCTGTAATAATGAAGTGTTTCTTTTTTCAACTATAATTAAACTTTGTTTTCTTCTGTTGACTCTAATTAAACTTTCTTTTAAATTCTTACAGTTTTAATTCTGGTAAATTAAAACATAATTTTTAAATAATCAAAATTTTTTATTTGTCATTGACATCAATATAAATTAAGTAAAATATTAATTCAGTTATTTTACTGCACTATTACAAAAAGTTTTCCAATTTTTCCATAAAATGGCCACTTCTAAATATAGTCAAAACAATTTCAACAAAAGATTATTAATTTTAAAAAAAGATTATTAATTTACAAATATGAGAAGACTTGGTCCTATAACGCTTTTCCCCACCAAAGTATATATATAATTGTTGGTCCAAGAAAATCTCAAAATCTTACTAGAATAACATACTATAAACAAGTGATGAAAACAGTAGCAATTCTTCAGATTTCCTTTGGCAACATTACTTTTTTAAAAAAATGTATTTTCATTCATTTCAGAGAGGAAAAGAGAGGGAGATATAAACATCAGCTGCCTCCTGCACATACACATCTCCTCCTCCCAACCCCACTACCGCTCCCCAGGGAGATCGATCTGGCAACCCAGGCATGTGTCCTTTACCAGAATTGAACCAGGGACCCTTCAGTCCATAGGCTGACGTTCTATCTACTGAGCCAAACCACTGAACCAAACTGGTTAGGGCTGGCAACATTACTTTTTTTATTTATTTATTTAATATATTTTATTGATTTTTTACAGAGAGGAAGGGAGAGAGATAGAGAGCCAGAAATGTCGATGAGAGAGAAACATCAACCAGCCGCCTCCTGCACACCCCCCATCGGGGATGTGCCCGCAACCAATGTACATGCCCTTGACCGGAATCGAACCTGGGACCTTTCAGTCCACAGACCGACGCTCTACCACTGAGCCAAACCGGCTTCGGCTGGCAACATTACTTTTGATAAAAAGTTCCCCAAATAAGCCCTGGCCAGTGTGGCTCAGTTGCTTGAGAGTCATCCCGTGCACCGAAAGGGAGGCATCCAATCAATGTTTCTCACATTAATGTCTCTCTCCCTTCCTCTCTCTCTAAAAAATTCAAAAACACATTTTAAAAAGTTCTACAAAAAATGCAATGTAGATTTTTTTTTTCTAAGCAAATAGTCATTTTAAGCTTAAGATATGTAAGGAGATATCCTAAAAGAGTATTAAATTGACCGTAACTACCAATATCAGTCCTTAAGGTAATTTTGCTAAATAAGGAATTGAGGGTATTTTTTTCTGCACATTGGTTGGCTAGTGCTTAAGACAGTGCCCTATCAGCCTTGCTAACTTGGGTGCTCATCCTTAATTCTAGAGTGGGATATTACCATCAACAACTTAAAAAAAAAAAAAAAAAAAAAAAAAGTCCTTTAGTCCCTTCATTACCTTCCAGGCCTATTATTTTTGAATTTCTTTCCTGCTATCCATGTGCTTCTTGGTGGGTAGTTACCAACATAACAGAATCTGCTTTCCCTGGCAGCTCTACCCATTTGTACCAAAGATTGGATGGCACTGGCTTGCTCCATCTCTAATCATTTACCTGCATCAGGGTCCAGTTTAATACTGTTCCTTTGTGGCTATTTCAGATTTTGTGAAAACACTCCCTACTGCAAAAGTACATAAGAACACAAACATTCAACCACAATCACCAAAGAGAAAGTTCGGCACAAAAGGGGGGCCTCCATGGGTCTGGGGCAGTCACTGATGCCAGGAGGCCTACCTCCTTAAATGGAGCCTTTCATTACCGCCTTGCTGGTAAGAGAAATAGCAGGAAAATGAGAGTTTAAGCTTCATTTTTATTTCTGCCTTCTCCCATATTTCTGCCATCCTCTCAAACCCCCAAACGTCTTAGAAAAGAAAGCTCTTCCACAGTCTAGGCATGGGAACATGTCTGAGCAGTAGCCACATTCCAGATTCAGTCACATTTTCTGAAAGAATCCAGATGTTGGCACTATGATGGTTTTCTTAAGAGGCGAGGGACAAGCCACTGTGACTCCTGGAGTTCAGCTCCAGGTGAAGGTTGTTTGATTGGGAGACAATACACTGTGAACAGAGAGGGTAGAAACGAGTCCAAACTGCCACAAATCAACCCTGCCATAGCTTAGTTCTCCTAGGTAGTACGTCTCAGAAGGAAAATATGAGCTTGCAGGTCCTGAGGGGGTACTTGTCCTGTGATATCTCTAGTAATTGGCAAGGACGGGAGCAAAGTCAATCTGGGCAAATGCAAGGCGTTTCAATGGCTGTGGCAGAAAGCTGCCAAGTCTGGAAGGTGTGCTCCCTTTGTGCTCCAGGTTTTGGCCGCCCTGAAGGAGGATCATTTTGGCAGGGAGCACTGAGTAGTCGGCTGCACACTTCTCGGGTCCAGCTGCCACCACCTGTTAATCCATAGGGATGCCCAGCAGGTCACAGCTGACATCCCATAGCCGCCTTGCGACTGTCATATTCCGAGCCTGGGCAGTGACCCACGTCACACGGCAGTCACTAGAAGGGAAAGAGAGAGGTTAAGAATGGAGTCTGTCCTCTGCCTGGGAATAAGGAATAGGACAGAAAAACAACCCAGGGATGACCTGTCCTCTAGGCCCTTCACAGATCCAGTGTTTGTCCTAGCTCTTCATCCTCCAATCTTTACCCCAGAGACAATGTAATTACCATTTTATTTATTTTTTTTTTTAACTACCATTCTCTGGAGCATTATCTCAACCCATTGAGATTTTTAAATTGATTTTAGAGAGGAAGGGAGAGAGAGAGAGAGAGAGAGAGAGAGAGAGAGAGAGAGAGAGAGAGAGAGAGAGAAACATCAATGATGAGAATCATTGATCAGTTGCCTCCCGCTCACCTCAAGCCCACAACCCGGCAAGTGCCCTGACCAGAAATCAAACGGAATTGAACTGTGACCTCCTGGTTCATGGGTCTACACTCAACCACTGAGCCAACAGCAGCCGGGCTGTAATTACCATTTTAGATCTCATTAGACCACCTCTGATCAGAATATAAATGCCTATCATTTAGTCTTAATATTCTCCTTTGTATGTATATATTTAATTGTAATATCAGTGCCTGCTTGATATGTATGCCCATTTTGTTCCAATAAATCTCTAAGGTCCATTCTATAGGATCTTGTACAGTGTCATGGACCTTGAGACCTGCTATTTACATTGATCACAGATACTTAGAATGGTAAATAAAACAACACTAAACACTTATTTCTGCTCCAACTATTTTTAAACTAAAAAAAAAAAGTAAAGTCAGCTTCATAAATAATGAAAGAAGAAAAAGAGGACAGCAGAAAAGAAATGGTAGCAAGGCACCCCGAGTTTCATACACCTTCTCTTCATGGCTGTAATTCTAGTTATTTTAAGTCTCCATTAAATGCAGGGCGATATCCCAACTTTGCACCACCCAGAAAATTTTTTCACAGATAACACTTTTATTCAGTTTTGTATTTTCTGCATCTGGAACACAGTAGATATTCAATGAAGGTGTTTTTTTTTGTTTGTTTTTTTTGTTTGTTTTTTTTGTTTGTTTTTTTTTTTGTTTTTAAAGGCCGTTATGGCTAGAATGGACATTTCTGAAAACCGTTTGTTTTTTGTAATATATTTATTGATATTTTACAGAGAGGAAAAGAGAGTTAGAAACATCAATGAGAGATTATCATTGATCAACTGCCTTTTGCACACCCCCCATCAGGGATGTGCCCCGCAACTAAGGCACATGCCCTAGGGAATCGAACCCGGGACCTTTCAGTCCACAGGCCGACGCTCTATCCACTGAGCCAAACCAGTTTCGGCTGTTTTTTGTTTTATTTTAATGATTGAGTAAACAGATCACAATCTTTGAAATAACATAAAAAGCAAATTTTAAAACTAACAACCTCAAGAAAACTGCTTCCTGGACATACTAAGCAAATTCCAAAGGTAAAAAGCTGAATTGCTAAATCTGAAATCATGACGTGAAGCAAGCCCCTGACACTATGTCCAATACGACCGTGCGGGCTGTGGAGCAGCCGCAGGAGCGTCACCTGGAAACCCGTGAGGAATGCCAATTCTCGGGCCCCACGCCAGACCTACTGAATCGGAATCTCTGGGGAGAGGCCCAGAACCTGTTCTTCACCAGTTCTCCAGATGGTTCTTAAATGCACCAAAGTTTGAGAAAAATGCCTTAAATAAATCTCTGCTTTTAAAAACAAGCCTTACAAATAAAGTGCTTAGGTTTAAGGAACTCACCAGCACCACCTGCCATTTCTAAGTAAAAAGCTCATCACTGAGAAGCAAAGGCCTCTGGGAATGACTTGGCCTCTGCAGCCTCCACTGCACTGTGCCTCCCGCTCTTCATCGTTCGCGGTGAAGGGCAAAGGACACACTAGGCCTGAAAGTGCCTTGGAAGCTACGATATGCTATAAAAATGATTCAAATACTACAGCCTGGCTCCTCCGTCTTCTCTTCGGACCAGGGAGCATCCTCAGATTTTAGTAAATTCCCTTCTTGCTTTTGCTAGCTAGAATTCAATTCCATTGCTGTGGAATCAAAGAACCCGAAGCTATACACACTATTTTTCATGTATGCTGTCTCAGTGAACATCACCATCAATCTCCTAATAACTCATGCTTGAACCCAAGTCACCAAATCTTCCCCTACTCTCTCACTCAGTTAAGTCAACAAGAGACAAAAATTCTGCCTTTCTCATCTAACCACTCTTTTCATTCCAATTGTCATTACCCTAAATTAGAAACTCATTATCTCTCACTTGGGATACTTATAATTCATTAAAAGTCACCAGGGATTTTTTTTTTTTTTTAAAGCACAGACCAGATGATGTCTGTCTCTACTGAAAACCGTGGCTCTTCTCAGTCTGGCATTATAGGCCTTTCATGATCTGACTTCCTACCTCCAAACCCAATCTTAATTTACTTATAGACCACTCTCTAAAATTTCAGGTCATTTCCATAAAATCTTGAAGGTAGAGGTAAAAACACCCTAAGAATTTGATCCTATGTAATATCTGGGATTTTCTTCAAAATAATATGGGTTAAGAAAAATATGGGAAGGGTATTTGTTTCATGAGGGGTTTTAGGTTGGGATGGGGCAGGATTGACCATGGGTAATGGTTTTTGAGGCTGGATTATGGGCATACGAGAATTCAACATGCTATTTTGTCTAATACTGTGTATATTCAAAACTAACAAAAAGTTTTAAAAAGTCTTTTCTTATTTAAGAAATGAGTCCACTGCCGAAACCAGTTTGGCTCAGTGGATAGAGCGTCAGCCTGTGGACTGAAAGGTCCCGGGTTCAATTCCAGTCAAGGGCATGTACCTTGGTTGTGGGCACATCCCCAGTAGGGAGTGTGCAAAAGGCAGCTGATCGATGGTTCTCTCTCATCAATGTTTCTAACTCTCTATCCCTCTCTCTTCCTCTCTGTAAAAAATCAATAAAACATATATTTAAAAAAAAAGAAAAAGAAATGAATCCACGGATAATATTTCAGTCCTGAAGACAATAAAGAAAAACAGGTTTAAATTCTTTAAAAATGAATGAATGAATAAATAAATAAATAAATCTAGGATTCTAACAAAAAAAAAAAAAACAAAGAAAATTTACAAAATATAAAAATAAAAGAAACAACCAGAAAGCATAAAATAAAAGATGCTATGAATAAAATCAAACCTAGCAATTACCACAAAAAAAATGTAAATGGGTCAAATTCCCCTATTAAAATGTAAAATCCTTAGAATTAAAGGATAAAAACTATGTTACAGACAATGTGCTTTTTTAAAGGGATACACAATACCAAACAAATAAAAATTATTTCCTTTAGGCAATAAAATTTCAAAAACAGATACACTCCTACCTGAAATGACTCCCACTTAGGATCTCCAGACCTTCTGCCAAGGCACAGTGCAGGCTGGTCTGGGCTCCCTCCTGAGGGGTCTTGATGAAGAAGGAGAAAATCCGCCACAAACATCTCATGAGGAATGAGTGCCGAGTCAATTCCGAGTGGACTGTGCCAGGGTGTACGGAATATACTGAAACGCCAGAGCCTTGCGGGGGTGCCATGAAGAGAGGGGGAGACAGGACTTAATGTTGCTGAAGGGCCAAAGAGAGCAGAGGACATGAATGGACACTGCCCTGTTTCAAATCCCAGCTTTACCACTCATTAGCTGTGTGACCTTGGGCAAGCTCTGGATGGTGTGACTCAGTTTCCTCATCTGTGAAATGGGGACAATCATAAGATCTGCTCCTCACAGGATTGTTCTGAGGACTCAATGAGTTCATATGTACAAGAGCTTAGAATAGTGTCTGGTGTTGTTCTGGGGGGTGGGAGTGGCCAGGGAGGGGGTCAGTCGGTGGAAAAAGGAGACATATGTGATACTTTAAATAATTTTTAAAAAAAATTATAAACTGTTTTGAATACTCAAAAAAAAAAAAAAAAAAAGAATAGTGTCTGATACATTTATACATTTACCAGTATAAATGGCATTCATACATATGCTCTTTTAGGTCCCCAAGTCTTCATTGGAATCCTTGGGGCCAGAAATGCTTCCAATTTTTTTCTGTATTATAAAGGTAATATGATATACACTGAATGGCCAGATTATTATGATCTCTGAATACATAATAATCTGGCCACATGAATTTGTGCCTGGGTGAGGTCTGGCCAGTCTGGCCAGGGCGAGGGGACGGGCCTGCCTGCTGATCGAACTACTACTGTGTTTCCCCGAAAATAAGACATCCTCCGAAAATAAGACCTAGCGCATGGAAAGATAAGACATCCCCTGAAAATAAGACCTAGCGCAACTTTGGGAGAAAAAGTAATATAAGACACTGTCTTATTTTCGGGGAATCAGGGTAGTCAAGGTGACAATTTGCATATTAGTCTTTTATTATATAGGATATACACTGAGTGGATAGATTATTATGCGTTAAGAAATCGTAATAATGTATACTCAGTGTATATACATATTATATTACCTACTCTCCCTGGTACAGGTGAAGTTTTGTTGCCCAATGTGTTCTAGCGTCAACTTATACAAAAACTGAATTTTTAGTCCTTTGTAGATTGCACAAGTGACAGATAAAAGGACTGGATTTTTATTTATTTTCCACTCAAGATGTACTCTTTTTTTTATTTTATTTTTTTATTTTACTGATTTCCCCAAGCCGACGCTCTATCCATTGAGCCAAACCGGTTTTGGCCAGGGGATGAGACATTCTGACGGTGAGGCTGAAGGCTTGGTTTCACCACTTGCTAGCTGTGTGACCTGCAGCAAGTTAACTTTTCGAGGCTTCCTTCCTCATATGTAAAATGGGACTACTTCACAGATATTGTCATAATTCAGGCTTCATGAACAAGTCAAGGTTTTTTCTTCACAGAGGAACTAAGTAGAAATGAGGGACCTGAACTGGAGCTAGATACAGTCATTAGGAAAAAGCAAGTGCAAAGGTGGGTGGGGAGTGGGGCATGTCTCCCTAACACCAAAGGGTCAAATAAGAGGGAAATGTATGCTTGAGGAGGGGACACTCCAGTCACAAATAAACACAGTTCCTTAGCATCATCCACTCTGGATTTCCAGTAAAGACAAAGGAAATCCAGGGTGGACAGTTGGAGTTGTTTAGGAGTTGAAGTGAGTAGAGTTCAGGCCGAAGGTCTCAGACACAGGAACCCCATTGGTCAGTTCTGTTCACATGTCTAGTCTATGCCCAGGACATGACATTCTGATTAGAAATTAAATGGGTTACAGTGTGGGTGGGTTAAGGGGCCTGGGGAACATTCCAGGTAGAGAGGGGGGAATGCATGAAGTTCTGGGCTCAGTTTGAGAAACAGAGAGAGGGCCGATATGGTTCAAACATAGAATATAATAAAATATGGGTCATTAAGAGTACATCTTGCCGAAACCAGTTTGGCTCAGTGGTAGAGCGTCGGTCTGCGGACTGAAAGGTCCCGGGTTCGATTCTGGTCAAGGGCATGTACGTTGGTTGCGGGCACATCCCCAGTAGGGGGTGTGCAGGAGGCGGCTGATTGATGTTTCTCTCTCATCGACGTTTCTGGCTCTCTATCTCTCTCCCTTCCTCTCTGTATAAAATCAATAAAATATATATATATATATATATATATATATATATATATATACACACACACACACACACACACACACATACATATATAAAAGAATGTCTCATCCCCTGACGGCCATCTCCAATGTTCACTAATGGGCGGTTTACTAAACCTAGACCCGGTTACAGTCCTGGAAGCAGGCGCTGGCCGGAGGACAGGCTCCAGAAAACAGTTTCTATTCCTGTGGCTTTGAGCTGTTTCCCCGAATCCTGTCTCCACACTCATTGCTTCTCAGCCTACCTTCCAGCCTCCGGGCCAGCTCCTTGGTGAAGAGAATGTTGGCTAACTTGCTATGACAGTAGGCCAGACCTGCACTGTAGAATTTCTCGCCCTGAAGATTATGGAAATGGATCCTTCCCAGGAGATGTGCTAAGGAAGACACATTCACTACCCTTGATGGGGCTGATTCCTTCAGCTTCTCTAGCAACAGATGGGTCAGGAGGAAGTGACCTGTAAGAAAAACTAGAATTAACAGAGGTCAGGGCCAATGCAGGGGTGAAGGGAGTAGTGGCGAGTAGGGCTCAGCTATGGGGAGCAGAGGACTCAGGAATAAGGCTATTTGCCTCTTTAATTCATTGTCAATGACAGAACAAGTTCAGTGCGGGCTTGAGGAAACAGAAACAGTCAAAGACTTTCAGTTGGTGTGCCGCAAGAATTTTTTAAAACATGCAATGCCTAACTATTTAGTCAGGTGCATTGACCTTTTTCACTTAGATTGTCAAATTAAAAAACAACAACAGTAGCTCTGGATGGTGTTGCCCAGTGGTTAGAATGCTGGCTTGCACACCAATGGGTCGCAGTGTGTGCAGAAGGCAACTAGTCGATGTTTCTCTCTATCTCTCTCTTTCCCACCCCCCTCTTCCACTCTCTCCTAAAAGCAATGAAAAAAATATCCTCAGGTGAGGATTAACAAAAATGAATGAATGAATGAATGAAATGACAACAGCCTACACAGCCCTCTGGTATATAAGCCCTGTCTTGAACCAAAAATATATAGGTAATATAATAGTTTCATTTTCTTGTTCACATTGCATAATAAGGTTGCATCTGCTTGGTTAATTGTTGATACCAGAAATCCTTATATAGAAGTATAGGCCCCTGATTTTTTATTTTAATCTTTATTGTTGAAAGTATTACATATGTCCCCATTTTCCCCCCCAATCGATCCACTCTAGCCCTCCTTGGCCTCCTGCCCCCAGCCTTCACGCCCTATTGTCTGTGTCCATGTGTTATGTATATATATGCATACAAGTTCTTTGGTTAATCACCTCCCAACCACCCGCCCTTCCTCCACAGGTTCTGTACTCTGTTCATTACTTCCATGTCTCTGGATCTATTCCATCCATCAGTTTATTTTGTTAACTAGATTCCACAAGAGTGAGATCATGTGATACTTGTCTTTCTCTAACTGGCTTATTTTGTTCAGCATAACACTCTAGGGGCACCTGATTTCTTAAAAGTTACTTTGGACCCAAAAAGTTAATTATTATTATTTGTAAACCAATCAAAATTATACTTTTTTTTTGTCAGATTAGCAAAAAATATATATTTTTTGGTGCACAGAATCTTAGTAATTAGTTTATGTGTGCCGTGAGGTGAAAAAAAAGTTGAAAATCGCTATTGTATGAGGTAGGTCTGGATTATGTGAATATGAAGTCCCATCTCATTCCAACCTTGAGTAACATCACTCTTTAAGAGCAGGCAGCCTCTATCTGATGCTGACCACAAGGGTCACTACAAAGAATGCAACACAACCCTCAATACAATTATGCTGTTCAAAAAGGCCCCGCGGTAAAACCGAATCTGAATCACAGATTAAAAAGTGGTGGAATTGAGTGAGCTTTCAGGCAGGACCATGATATTTCTTATTTACTTACTAGAGACCCAGTGCATGAAATTTGTGCACTCGGGGGGTTTGGGGGAAGGGGTCCCTCAGCCCGGCCTGAGCCCTCTTGCAGTCTGGGAGCCCTTGAGGGGGAGCCGGCCTAAGCTGGCAGTCAGACATCCTTAGCGCTGCCGTGGAGGCGGGAGAGGCTCCCCCTGTGAGAGCGCACTGACCACCAGGAGGCAGCTCCTGTGTTGAGCATCTGTCTGCCCCCTGGTAGTCAGTGTAAGTCATAGCAACCAGTCATTCTGCCATTAGGTCAATTTGCATATTAGCCTTTTATTATATAGGGTGGTCTATTATGGCCGAGAGGTCTAAACACACTATAGAGAAGACCCAATCTCGCCCCTAAGTTTTCCAAGGGGAACTTCGGGCTCCTTCTAGCTTTTGTAGTGAGACCACATTTCTTACCCAAGTGGTTGACTCCTATATGCATCTCAAAGCCATCTGCTGTCCTGGAGTAGGGACACATCATCACTCCTGCGTTGTTGATCAAAATGTGGAGATGCTTTTCCTCTGTAGGGAAGAGGGGATGGAGCCATAGCTATTACATCTTAGAAATCTACCTCACACCGAGGCAGGAAAATGGAGATGCAGGACTTCAATCTTTCCTCCACGTTCCCTTCATACTTACTTTGTATTGTTTTTATTGTAAGGCTGTGGTTGAATCTGGCATACCTTTACTATGCAGGACAAAATTCCATCTTACACTATCAAATGGCCTTTTCAAGATTTCCAGTTCGGGAGCTAAGTATTGTACTTACTCTCTGCTTCTGGGAAGTGCCCCATCCACCTCTCCCAACAGAAAGACTTCCCAGTTGGATGGGAAGATTCCAAAGCAAGAGAAAAAAAGGACACTCTGTATGCACCCCCACCACTGAGATTCAGGCACCAAAAGAAATACTGGCTTCACCTCTTTGTTGCATCTGCCAACTTTCTCTCCGGTTTCCCTTTCTCATGTGGTTAGTAATTTCTGACTAAAAACTTGAACTTTTTGGTTCAAGACAGGATGAAATTTTAAAAATAAAAAAATAAAAGGCTAATATGCAAATTGTCCCCTCAACCAGGAGTTCTTTTTCTTAGGAGGCCTCGCTCCCTGGGTTATGAGGGGATATGCCTACAGAATGCTCTTGGATTTGCTTTTCATGTGATACTACAGGGTTTTATGTTAATTTGTCAGCTTGAGATTCTTAACACTATTCTGAGGTGTAGATTCCCCCGCCCCATAGATGCCAGCTGGGGGTTCTAATTTCCTGCGGATGATTCTTTATCCATCTGTGTCCTGAAGAGATGATAAGCTTCTTTGTCATGTACCTCAGCTGGTAGCCTGGGCTTTTTTAAGTTCCTGTAACATGGACCAGATGGCCTTTTGCGAATCCCAACCTTCCTTATGTGGAGCCTCGGATACAGCTCCTCATCTCCAGAACCTAAAACCCACGTTGAGTTCTGACACTCCTGTGAGATTTTTGGTTTTAGTTCTTACTCATTGCCATGACTTATCAGAATTGAATTTATATTTCTGTCTCTTGAGGATTTTCCTTTGTTATCAATGAGTTCTGCTATGAATCAAAAGGTGTTTTTTTGTTTTGTTATATTTTATCTACCATTTCTATATATCAGACAGAAAGAGAGATCTTTTCCTTTTATCTAGGTCACAAGACCCACAATAGTCTCAGGTTATGCACTCACCTGCTAAGAAGCCCCCAGCGAAGGCGCGAATAGATTTAGTATCAGCCAAGTCCAGTTTCCGCACGAAGACCTGTTGGTTTCCTGTCATGGTCTGAATCTCTCTTGCCACCAATTCCCCCTTTTGCACATCCCGGCAAGCTATATAGACACGTGCTCCTGTCAACCAATGCATAAGAGACAAACTGTCAGCTTTGTTGTTGAATGGGTATTACAGACTTAGCTAGAGGCCAGGAGCACAGATTTGTGCCCTGGTGGGGTCCCTTGGCCTGGCCTGCACCCTCTTGCAATCCAGGACCCCTTGGGGGATGTTGGAGAACCAGTTTTGGCCCAATCCCTGCAGGCCAGCCTGAGGGACCCCACCAGTGCATGAATCTGTCTGAGATTCATGTCTGTTTCATGTTTTCATGCCTGCGTGTTAAGCTTCTAGTGGTCAGTGCACGTCATAGCTACAGGTCGAACAGTTGGCCAGTCGCTTAGGCTTTTGTTATTATTATCTCTGAATGCATAATAATCTGGCCACTCAGTGTATATACTATATAATAAAAGGCTAATGCGTACATATGGGCCTAACCAGTGGTCAAGGACAACAGGAGGGTGGGGGCATGTGTGGGGAGGTGTGGGGGATGGGAATGGGGGAATGAGGACAAATATGTGATACCTTAATCAATAAAGAAATTTTAAAAATAAAAAAATAAAAGGGCTAATATGCAAATTGTCCCCTCAACCAGGAGTTCGACCAGCAGGCAGACGGGCCAACTGCCTGTGTCCCCTCCCCCTGGTCAGGCTGGCCAGACCCCCCACCTATGCACAAATTCATGCACTGCCCCAAAAACAATATATATATTTGATTATGCATTCAGAGATAATAATCTGGCCACTCAGTGTATATAGATACTAATGCTGGATGTTATTTCTAGAGTTTTATTTATTTTATCCCTACTTCACAACAGAGGAATCTGATAAGTAAATCAGGAAAGAAGATTAATCAACAATACTCATTTAGTGCCCATTATATAGAGAGCATTGTACTAGGCTCACACCAGCAAATCAGTGTGGCACTTGGAATGTTCTTGAATTCCAGGATTGGGAGGAAATAAATGAGAATGGTCATCATTGCTAGGTAAAATGGCAGTAGCAGCAGAGAATTAGAAATAAACTTGCCTCTCTGAGCCAGCTCTTTGGCTGTCTCCTTCCCGATGCCTGTGTTGGCACCAGTAACCACTGCCACCTTCCCTGGAAGCTGGGCAGTCGATGTACACACCCCGTTGGATAGCATTTTCCTGCAGACACAGAAGGAGAGCTCATCAGCTCTTTATTTTCCTTGTTTCAACCAGAGGATCCTGCAAACCCCCGTGTCTTCAGATCTCAGGGAAAGGTTTGCTTTGATTCCTTTTTTTTTTTTTTTTTTTTTTTTTAAATATATCTTTATTGATTTCAGAGAGGAAAGGAGAGGGAAAGAGAGAGAGAAACATCAATGATGAGAATCATCGACTGGCTGCCTCCTGCACTTCCCCCTACTGGGGATCAAGCCCGCAACCTAGGTATGTGCCCTTTCCAGAATCGAACCTGGGACCCTTCAGTTTGCAGCCTGCTGCTCTATCCACTGAGCCAAATCAGCTAAAGCCTATGGCTGTCCTTTTACAGGTTTAAGGAAGGTTGGAGGAAATAAAACAAAAGTTTTCTGTCCTCACTCAAGAATAAAAATAAGGCTATTACAGGGTAATAATAATTAGAGCAACTGCCCTAACCAGTTTGGCTCAGTGGATAGAGCGTCGGCCTGCGGACTGAGTGCTCAGTGGTGGAGCGTGGACCTATGAGCCAGGAGGTCACAGTTCAATTCCCGGTCAGGGCTTCCCCAGTGTGGGGCATGCAGGGGGCAGCCAAACAGCGATTCTGTCTCATCATTGATGTTTCCATCTCTCCCTTCCTCTCTTTTTAAAAAAGCAGCCGTTTTCTGCTGAGTGTTCAGAGGGGAGAATGAGGGGCAAGGAGGAGGTGGGGAGGGGGTAAAGAAGAGGTGAGTTCAATAAGAAAGAAGAGAGCTTAATCCTGCGCGCCTGCAAGTTCCAACCCAGCTTCCGCCCCTGCACCACCCGCCCAGCAGTGACTGGCTCACCGTCACTGCTGGTGATTTGCTCAGGCCAATCAGCATGCGGCCGGTTTCGCAGCTTGCCGCTGATTCTCCAGGGACACTATTGCCTGATGTATCACCAGGTTAACAGCGCGCTACCCTCATCCTCCCCGCCCCGCCCTGAAACCCCGGGGACTGACTCCGACCCCTATAATCCTGCTCTGATGATGGGGTTGGGTGCAGGATATCACATTTTCTCCTTTAACAACATCGCCCAGAGAAAGAGCCACATCTAAGAGTAACAAGAGAGCAGGAATGGGCTGCACATGTCACGATTCCCATCCAAGGCCAGTTTCGAAAAGCAGAAAGTCGAATGGCTCCATTGTCCTCTACAGGCTGGAAGCAAGAGGCCAGTGAAGGCTGGTTCGAGGCGTGGGGGCTACGGTCTTGGGGTCTGAAACCCCCAACGCTGTACACTTAAGGGTCTGAGGTAGACCTGCACTCGGGGTTTGCAGGAGCCGGAAGCAAAGGCTGCTTAGAGGCAAAAGTGGGGGCCGGAGAAGCAAAGCAGGGTGCTCCGATATGCAACCCTTTCCCTCGTCCTGGGGTCTGTCTGATGGTGTCGCCCGACTCGCATCCAGGGCAGCCGACCTCCTCAGACTAACCAAACCCGGTCTGGGCAGACAGGGAGCCCACAAGGGAGTTCTTTTCCTTTTCCTTCTTTTGAAGAACAGAGCTTCCGTGAGGATGGATGCCTGCCCCCCCCCCCTCCGCCCCCGAAGATTCCCAAAAGAAGACATTATTATTTACATTTGCACAGACCTGATTTGGGGTGCAGCGATGAACAGGAGAAGGGGGAGGAGGAGGAGCAGCAGGAGCAGGACCCCAATCATCTTGAAGCGAGCCGCAAGACGAGATGCCCCGGCGGCGATCGCCAACTGTGGTTTCCCTCCCCCTGACGACGCGCCCTAGTACTTTCCCGCAAAGCCTTCTGGGAAATGTAGTCCAAACCCTGGAGGCGGCTAGCGGGCAGTGAGCTTGCTGTTCCCAGTCACGGAGAAAAGCTGAACCGTGCGCCAGACACACTGCAGATCCCCAATTATCTAGCGTCCGAGGACTTTGGGGTCATCCAGCCAGCTCTCCCACAACCCTTCTGGCCACCTGCGGTTTTTGGGAAATCTCCCCAGCCCTCTAGCTCCCGGTGCCCAAGACTAGACTCCGGTTGGTTCACTTTCCCCCCATCATTGTTAGGCAGTTACCACATCGTTTGTCCTGGAGATCAAATATTGGCATCTGGGATATGTTTTAAGGCCGATTACACAGAAGAGGAGCGGTTGGAGTCTGACCGTTGGAAAGGCAGGGAGAGGTGAGAATTCTTCCTCCTTGGGGATTCCAATGGAGCAGAAGCAATTGGTTCCTGAACCCATTCCCAGGAGAATCACTTGATTGTGTCTATTTTGATAACTATGATAATTTTCCTGGTGTTTGACAAAAAATCGATAGTAGAATATAGTTTTCTTGATGGGTTCAGTTAATTATGTGAACTCCCAAGATAACAATGGATTTCTCAGGTTAGCAGCACAGTTGGTTTTGCCAATTCATGAAACTGTTTAATCCAGTCTTCAGGTCATGATTATGACCTGAGAATAAGCAGGTTCCCTGTTCAGTCATTTATTTAAGCTTTGCCATCTGGGGCTTATATCTGGTTTCTAAGGGGTGAAGGTGGGGGATGTTTAACTAGTCATTATCTGGCTGTAATTCCTGATGGCACCACCCTAATGTATTCTGGATCTTTCTTCCAGATAATTCATTTCAATTTTTTTGAAAGACATGTGCTCCAAGGTCAATCTGAATGATGAGACAAATATGGAGCAACTGGCATTCTCATACAACTTGGCAATTTCTCAAACTGTTAAATATGTTAAACATAATCCTATTATTGTGACTCCTAGGTAATTTTCCAGGAGAAATAAAAGTTATTCATAAAGATATGTATATAAATGATCATAGAAGCTTTATTTGTTATAATAAAAAATAAGAAACAAGCCAAATGTTCATCAACAGATGAATGGATAAACAAATTGTGATATATCTACATAATGAAATACTACTTATCAATAAGAAGAAATAGAATTTTGATGCACTTAACAGCATGAATGAGTCTCCAAGTAGTTATGTTGAATGAAAGAAGCCAAACGTTGCCCCCCCAAAGAAGAAGTGCATACTTATGATTCCATCCTATACAATAAAAGCCCAATAGGCTAACTGTCTGGTCATCCTCTCATTCATTCAATTAATCAAAGCATAATATGCTAATGATATGCTAAGGCTGCTCAACCGCTTGCTATGACATGCACTGACCACCAGAGGGAAGATGCTCCCACCAGTAAGTTAGCTTGCTGCTGGGGTCCAGCTGATCAAGACTGAGTGATACAGGCTGGACACACCCTTGAGCCAACCTCTTGTGTCCCTCCCCAGCCCAGAGTGCACCAGTGGAGTCCCTTGGCCTGGCCTGTGACCTCTCACAATTCAGGATCCATCTGGGGATGTTGGAGAGCCGGTTTGGGCCCAATCCCACAGGCCAGGCCAAGAGACCCCATTGGTGCACTGCCAGAAGCTAATTCCAGCATGTCATACATGCAAGAAGTTTCTTCAAAAGGTTGATGGAACCTTGAGGACTGCCTGCTGGAAATGGCTAAGGCATTTCCCCACACCTAAAGATTTGCATAGATGATTGCTTGCTGCCAGACAGCATTTTAATCTACATGTTATTGCCTCCTACTGGCAAAACACCTGAACAGCTGTAGGTGTTCAAATCTGACAGTGGGATTTTGTATACTAAACCTTGCCTTTGATATGTACATTTACTTTGCTTTAGGACAATCAGTGTTAATAAAAAGCAAAGGGTCCAGAGAGACAGGCCCTCAGTGAGTTCTTCATCTGTGAATTTCAGGTCCATTCCTGCACTGGTTCCTCTGGTGTTTTCATCGTCCTCTCTACTATATATTTCTACCCTATTTCAGATTGAAAGTCCCTAAAAAAGCAAATATTGGATTGGTCCATAATTCTTTTGGTGTCAATTACAGTAATAAAGTAGGTCATGATGATGGCTTTGCTTATTCATCAATACACATTACACATTTAAGAGTGTCTCAACACCAGTGTAAGAAATAGCTTTGTTTTGTGATATCACAATGATTAATTTAACCAAAATGAACAGGTTGTTTCAGAGTTATTTGGTTATTTTTGCTATAAGTTTTATTTTTAATTTTTAAAATATATTTTATTGATTTTTTTAAGTTTTAATATTTAATAAGCTATAGGTTATGAATTCACAAGGTACAAAAGGGTAGTACTTTCAGTGAAAAGGCGCCTAATCCTGCTCCCCTGTTCTAGAAGCAGCCATTGCTATCCCTTTCTTTTATCTTGTTTCTTGTCATCTTGTTATACGAATATGTCCATCTATTCCCTCCATTTTTTTTTATCCTCATCTGAGGGTATATTTATTGATGAGAGAGAGAGAAAGAGAGATGAGAGAAAAACATTAATTGGTTGCTTCTCATTTGCACCCCAACTGGGACCAAACTCACAACTTAGGTATGTGCCCTGACTAGTAATTGAACCCAAGACCGGTCAGAGCTATTCCCTCCATTTTTAAACAAATGGTAGCATATTATAAACCATGTTCTGCTCCTTACTTTTTCACCAAATATGTCTCAAAGATTCTTCCATATCAATATGTCTAAAAAAAAAAAAAAAAGGTATTTCATAGCTATATAGTAGTCATCGTGTGGCCGTACTATTGACAGGCATTTAGAAAGTTTCCAAACTTTTCCTATTACACACAATGGTGCAATGACATACGTGGAAGTGGAAAGTTCAGGTCAATGAGTATGTGCATAGTCTTTTTTTTTAAATAAATTTTTATTGTTCATATTATTACAAATGTTCCTTTTTCCCCCTCCCTCCATTGCTCTCCTCCACCAGATTCCCATCCCATCCTCTGCCCTTTCTCTACCCCCCATTGTCCTCATCCATAGGTGCACAGTTTATGTTCAGTCTCTTCCCACATCCCCCTCTCCCCTTTTCCCCAAGAATCATCAGTTCATTCCCCTTCCATAATATTATTCATCAGATTTTTAAAAATTTCTTTGGTTTTTAGATTCACTTGTTGAGAGTTATGTATTTGTTGTTCATAATTTTTATCTTTATTTACTTTCTCTTATGAAAGAACCCCCTTCAGCAATTCATATATTCTGGTTTGGTGGTGATGAACTCCTTTAGCTTTTTTTTATTAGTGAAGCTCTTCAATTCTGAGTGATAGCTTTGCTCGGTAGATTATCTTTGGCTGTAAGTTCTTACTATTCATCACCTTGAATATTTCTTGCCATTCCTGTCTGGCCTGCATGGTTTCTGTTGAGAAATCAGCTGACAATCGTATAGGTGCTCCTTTATAGGTAACTACCTGCTTGCTCTTGCTGCTTTTAATATTCTCTCTTTGTCTTTTGCTCTTGGAATTTTAATTATGATTTGTCTTGGTGTGTTCCTCTTTGGATTCCTTTTGTTTGGAGTTCTGTGAGCTTCCTGGACTTATAAGTCTAATTCTTTCACCAGGTGGAGGAAGTTTTCTGTCACTATTTCTTTCAGTATGTTTTCCATATCCTGCTCTCTCTCATCTTTTGGGACCCCCATAATTCTGATGTTGGTTCGCTTAAAGTTGTCCCAGAGGTTTCTTACATTATCTTCAATTTTCTGGATTCTCTTGCCTTCTAGCTTCTGCGGAGGAGTGTCTTCTGGCTCTTTATGTTCCAAATCTTTGACTTGATTCTTGCGATCTTCCATTCTTTTTTAGGACTCTGTATAATATTTTTTATTTCAGACAATGTATTCTTTATTTCTTGTTGATCCCTTATCATTTCTTGTTCATTCCTTATTAATTCTAGTTGATCCCTTTTCATATCCTCATAGGTCTTATCAATCTTTTCTAGGAAATTCTTGAAAAACCTTCTAAGCGTAGATTTGAACTCTATATCCAGTCGCTTTTTGTCCTCCATTTCTTTCGTTTGTGATCTATTTCGTCTCAGCATTTTCGCAGCTTCCTTGATGGGGCAGGGTTTCAGGGTGGAGCCTACAGCTTTGGCTTCTGTCTGCCCCGCCCTATGAGGCTCCTGAGTCTCAGGGTCCTTCAGTACTCCTTGCAAGTGCCTCTGAGAGAAAGGTGCCCTCGATTTTCGCCTGCTACCAAACAGTCTAGGCCACATGTGCCAAACACAAGGCCCGCGGGCCAAATCCATCCCGCCAGGCCTTGCAATGTGGCCCGCACGGCGCTGTCATCACTGCACTCCGCTGCGTTTCCATCACAATGACAGTTTATGACTGTTCAGTAAACCATTCGGCCCGAGATTTAGGCTGGATTTTAGATTTTGGCCCCTTCTCTGATTGAGTTCGACACCCCTAGTCTAGGCTCTCCCCCAATGAGCCCAGTTTTGGGGTTCAGTTCAGTTGGAAGTGGAGTTGGAGGTGGCGTTCAGAGAAGTCTGGAGCCCCTGTCTCCTTCCCACCAGGGCAATCCCACGACACAGCCAACCGTCCTTTCTCTGCGCGCAATGTGCGCGCCTCCGGGACCTCCTTTCACCGCTCCCCTGGGATTCCGCCTTACAGCCCAGCTCCCTATGGATGAGTCTGGGTCCCCGGGGTCTGGCCTAGAACTGGGGTTCAGAGCAGTCAGAACTGGGGCCCAACACAGTCGGAGCTTTTATCTCCTTTCTGTTAAGGAACGCCAGCCAGCAACTCACCCGCCCCCTCCTCTCCGGCTCCGTCCTCTCCGTGCTCCGCGTGTCTCCGTACCTTAGGCTTTTACAGCTCCTCCCCTTTTCCTTCTGGTTTTCTCCTTGCTTCTTGTTGTAGAATTTTCAGTCAGTCGACTTTCCTGTAGTTCTGGGTAATGTCCATTTTATATTTTAGTTGTATTTTATTGAAATTGTTGTG